TTTTTTTTTTTTTTTTTTTTTTTTTTTTTTTGCTATTATTCATTGATTCTTATTTTTTGTGGCAATAATTTTAATAGAAAATAAAGGTGAAGGAAAAAAAAGAAGATGAAAGGAACAAGCAATTAAAATCACATGTTTTTTAATCTTCGAATCTCTATAACACACCAGACTGTTTTGTTAAATAAAAATTTTAACCTCGATAATCTTTTGGGAATAATGTGGTTTTATACCTCAACAAAAGAGCAAATAAAAGCCGGAAAGCAGGGAAAACCAAGTAGAATCTGTTGATGTTAGGAGTGAACACGTGTTATTCACTTGGTTTTTTGACTCTCTTAGGGATGCTACCATCAAAGCTTATCTAGCCTATCCGTCAAACTGGTCCATAAATGTTTCAGATTTTGAAATCAGTAAATATTCTTGTTTGCGCATTCTTTTTTAAAAAAGAAAAATTTTTCCAAAAACTATTTAAGCTTGTCAATGAAATTACTGGACAACATGCAACAGCTTTCCGCTCGTATCTTAATGATTATGGTGACGGTGATAAAGACAACCAACAAGTTGAAAAGGGTCATATAATATACAGAGGTTATATGTGTTATGGCCACTGCTCATCTGGAGCGGGTTTTTTTCTTAGAAGTATTTACACGTGAGTATTTTGTTTCTACATCAACTAAGGGCCTAGTTCTATACAGAAAATAGTCGATAATTCACATGCAGAAGCAGGCATAAGTTTCGCTGTGTACTTCAGTAGTATGTGCAGTAAGTTGCTTGTTGTAGGCGGTTAAACTAGCCGTCGTCATTCGCAGTTGATATCACAGCTGTGTGTACTGATGGTTTGCGTTGTGTGTGTCGGTGAACAGTGACTTTGCAATGCTCCATTGCTTGCGGGGGATCGGTGTAACGATGCTGGAAAGCGCAGTGTGTATCAGGGATTGTATTGGATTGCCTAGACAAAATTTTCTCAAGTTCACTAACCTCTGTGTTGCAGAGCCGGCGATAACAATCTATTAACTGGTGAAAAAATTTCTTTTACGTTTGGAACCTAAATACACTGTGGACTTCTTGCGGCCTGAAAAATAATCTTAGAAATGTTAACAGAATTGAGGAGCTTATTATTCTTTTCCTTTATTTTTATCAGGAACCACATCTAATGATCTTAGACTTATTTGACTTATTTCAGGTAGGGTCCGTGAGATTATCTTTTGTTGTTTGCGCTTACACCTTAATGTTGTAATTTTCTGGACTGTTACTTTTTTTCCCCATTATTACCTGCACTTTCAATTTATTTATATATATGTATATTTTTTTTACTTGCCATTGGTTTCAAAATTTATCCATTTTTGAACATCTTTACGGGCATCTTCTCTCCCATTTGCGGTTGTATTGTTTCATTTCTTTACCGCCGCTTCCATAAAAAGATACATCGCTTCTATGCACTTAACTGGAGATTTATCTTCTTTTAAAAAACATGTTCTTCGGCATAAGAAACGTAATAACCGGAGGATTCCTCATGGTAAGTCAAAAGTTTTTTGTTCATCACTCATCAACAATACTACGCAGATATTTAAGCTTTTCGGTAATGTTCGGGATAGCCTTTGAAACACAGATCTGAATTGGCACGTTTCAATGCATCTATAACTTTTGTTTTTTAGATACTTCGAAACGTAGGTTTTTGAAAACGCTTTGCGCTGTCGATAGTACTTCCGAAATAAAGTTTGCGATGATAACATTAAAATTCATTGATAGCTGAGACTTTATTCTTTTTGCCTTTAACCCTTCAGTTTTCTTTCCTTCCCTTCCCCCTTTAGGGTCCAACTTTGTACATAATGCCTATCACATAAATAAATAAAAAAACAAATGCATATATTTAATGTTTTAAACGGGAAAAATATGTTTTTGTCTTTCTTTTTTTTTTATCTCATAGTCGTTTTTTGCGGAAGTTCAGCAATTTTTCGTTCCCAAAATGTTGCACATTGCTTTAAAAATTTTAAAAATGATAGTTTCTTAATTTTTGAAAAACTAGTAAGGTTTTTTTCAAAAAATTTTAATATTGTGCCTTTGTCTGTGTGTCTATGTGTGTATTGTAATTTTGATGGTCTTAGCCTTGAACAATTAGAAGGTTTCCCTGCATTTGTCAACTTGTGCAGTAAATTCATCAGTGGACGTGTTGTATGTGTACTCTTAAGCTAATGAATTGGATTAGGAATAGTCATTAAACGTTATAAAGCTTACTGGTATTCTCATCTAGTTTACTTATCTTACCAAAATTTAGGTTCTAGGATTATGGTTGTGGAAAGGAAACACGGTGGGAGTAGGAGGCCTTCATCAAATTTACGTCTACGGCGCTTAACACAAGCCTACTTAGCTCCAATTCGTCTCCACTCGACTACAGCGGAAAAATCAGCTATTGATGAAGTTGACTCCGTGTACTATAAAGGTTCCATTTATATTACTTTCAGCTCTCCAATTTTGACTCGAAAAAAATTTTTAAAAGGTTTTTGTTTAGTGGTTGGGTTAATACTTCGTTTCAAGGTCACTCTCCATTTCTGATATTAGTAATACTTCTGAAAAAATAATTATTATTTAGATTTTTTTTCCTGAATTTTGCTTGTTTTCCCCTGAGTAGTTATGATCTTACGTTTCCTACTGTTAGTGCACAAAATGATCCTGAATCATCAAAGCGTTACCAGCGGATTATTTCCACGATATTCCTGCGACACAAAGGTAGCTTATGTGAAGGACAGCATTTACTGTGCTCTCGCGTGTTGGGCATGTTCTGTCGCTTACAAGTAATTTCTATGTTTTAACCTCGTAGTCGTCGTCAACAACTTATATCTTGATTTTTTACTCGTTTCCTCTTACATCCTAATTGATGATGTTCAGCCGTATAGATGACGACAGGGGAAGACATACAGAGTTACGCCAATCGGCTGTAAAAACTATGCGCGGGATCATGTTTTCATGGATGCAGCAGTGCGATATGGTACATTTTTAATTCTGCACTTGGCTTAATAAATTTATTAGGCAGTTCTAAAAGTTGGTGGTCTAGACTTCCATTGTTTCCTCATATTTTTCAGCTGAACCAGTTCACAGAAACAAATTCTGTTGAATATGCCTTACATGCACGGTTTTCTTTAATCACTGGCATGGTTTTACCTTTTTCGAAGGTATGTTTTTGCTACTATGGAAACTAGGAAATTATATTTGAAAATTTGATTTATCTTTACTTCCAGGTAATGAGCATTACTTTACGTTTCTCAATACTCATTAAAAGATTGTTTTTTAAGGAGTATGGACACTTACAAATGGATCTTATAGCGTTGTATCTTCTAGCCCTTGTTCAAATGACTGCTGGTGGAGTGCAGGTCAGTTGAGATGTTTTTGCATATTGGTAGAAACTTTTTTTGGTGGCGTTATTAGAGGTTAATATACAATCATTTTAGGTACTTATTCATATATCTTTCACCAGTTTTGAATTATTAAGTGGGATTTTTATCTGTATTTAGATCATTTACACGCAGGATGAGGTTTGCTTTGTGCAGAATCTAGTTTTTTACATAGAAAGAACGTACCGGACACCCGATTATGGTATGTGGGAACGAGGAACGCGATACAACGTTGGTGACCGTGAATTACATGCCAGTAGTCTTGGGATTGTTAAGGTAACACAAAGATGAGAGCAACTTTTATATATACTTTATGCTCCCAATATTTTCTAGGCTGCATTAGAAGCAATTAATGGTTTTAATTTGTATGGAGCTTATGGAACAAGTTGTTCAGTTATTTATGTAGATATTGATGGGCATAACAGGAATCGTACTACTTTTGAAACTATTCTGCCTCGCGAAAGCAACTCAAAGGTTGTTCCTCTGTTCCTTCTTACTCTAACAAGATATTTGTTCATGTCTTTGCATTTTCTCGACTACAAGGTCTACTTCTGCTCCGAAGTCTTGGTAGCTCTGCTTAATTTGGTAACGAGTAGTTGGGTTATGAGATGTTCTTTTCAAGATTTTTTATATAAATCAATAAGACAAATTGGCTGCTTGTAATTTTCACACTTCATTGCTTTGTGACTTTGTTTAGAATACAGACGCTGCTCTGATAATGACCGTTGGATGGCCTGCTTTCGCGACGCATGATGGAAAATTGTATGATATCACAGTTGAAGAGTGCAAGAAAAGATTAGAGGGGCGATACGGAATGAAAAGGTTCTAAATTATTTTCAGACTGGTTTTTTTTTTACAGATTTTTCATCAAGTCATTTTGAACTTTTCTTCATCTTACGTTCTCGATTTTTACTTGTCAGAGAAACCGAAGGAGCGGAATAGAGGTATAGGTTTAAGAGTATTTTTCAAATAAATATATGTTAATGGACAAGGAACGGTTTTTACTTAAAACTACTTGTGTAAGTCTGCTTAAGATTTTTCCGCGACGGTTATCATACCGAAATGGAAGATGCTTCTCGCTGTTACTATGATATTCATGAAACGTATAGGTTCCAAGACATTGAATCTCAATTCCCGATGTTTTTTGCCTATATGTATATCACAGGTATTTTACTAAAAGAAATTATGGAGGGTTTTTTTATTGTTGTTAGTTGAACTCTTATTATTAATATCAATTCAGCACTAGTATCTGTGCTTTTCGCCTTAGCTTAAAGTGATTGAATAGTTTTATAGCTCAGTTACGTGGAGAGACCGAACTTGCTGAAACGTACTGGAAGAAACTTGACGATCTTCTTGTAATGTACTATGACCGTAAGTGCATCGCGCTAGCAATGTTTTAGTAAAAGTGGCTTGCAAGTTTTCTTTCATACTTCAGCTGTTGTCATTTCTTTGAGTTGATTAAACAGTTTATATGCTTACATTTTTAGTGCGTGAACTTTTTCAGTTGATGGGATGATGGTTTTACCAGAATGTTATATGATCGAAGAAGAAAGGATGGATTCTGAAAGGCAAAAACCGGGATCACAAGAATTCTATCCCATTTCACCTTCTGAATTTGGCCTCCACTTATGGTCTAATGCCATATACCTTATCGCACTGTTACTAAGTTAGCGCTAGCAGTTTTTTAGCAGCAATATGATTCTTTTTGGGGTCTGAGGTCGAGCTTTTTTTTTTTAGAGAAAAATCTGGTCCACGCGAGTGATATAGATCCAATTTGTCGACACTTGCCTGCAAGCCAACGACCACAAAACCGCAACCGCCATTCAGCTTTTCAGGCAAGAAAAACTGCGTTTTAAGTTTCTAAGAATTTACTCTTTTTTTTGTAGTTAATATTTTTTGAATTTCTCTATAGCTCTTTGTCTTGTAAGCTGTCTTTTAATTTTGCTCCTTTTCTTAAATCACATTGTAATTTATCTCCTTGTAAATTTAGCGAGAAGATTTGCTGCCGATGGGTTTCGTGAGTAGTTTTAAACAATTATTTATGAGCGTTGCAGTAACAAAAAGAATAAGATGATTAGGTGTGCTTTATTCATGATGAAGTTAAGGATTTTTGGTTTGAAATTTAATAATATTTCTTTTTCATAACTCCACTCTAAAAGTATGCCTTGATGTTATTATATTGCCACTTATCTTTTGGTTATTTTATGGATTGATATTGCTGTAAAAATATTAAACAACTGAACTTTTTGCTCTAGTATTCTGCTTTTTGCTACTGCCTTGCTTCGCGATGCTGTATTTCCAGGCTTGGCAATTCGTTATGTAAGCTTTAATTCGTGCAGGAGAATTTAATATTAGTGGAGGTCCCTGAAGAACTTTGTAGATATACTATAAAGTCGAAAGATATGATTTGTCGATCATGAGACCGCAACTTTTTTCTGCACTCTAACTTTTTAATCAAAATGACTGACCGTCACCTTGGTCCGTGTGCCTTACTATGGTATATTTGACATTTGAACTGGCTAGGTTTGGGCTCAATAAATAGCTGTGCTCGGGTTTCACCTAAATACTATTGCGTGGGGTTCTGTTACGAAAAAAGTGGCCTAAGTGTTTGGAAAAATAACAGTTAACAGGTGGCCTCTTGAGTAAGCTGAATGAAAGTTTTTTATTCTTTTTAATGCATTTTTTTGTGGCTGAGAAGGCGTATAGTTTATAGATTTTCATGTCTGCGGGTCGCTCTAGGCACAATATCTCATTCAGTCTTTAGGAGTTTACCAAGGAGAACTTGAGGTTTCTTGTAGCAGGACATGAAAATATACACATATTTGAGTTTAGCAACTTGCTATCGGAGCATTCTCCATTATTTTTTAAACCAGCTATTTCAGGCGGTCACTAGAAGCAGTATCATTTGCAATTATTTAACAGCCTTTTATCTGTCTTTGAGGTTCAAGAACCATTATTCTGTTATACGTTCTTCTGTAGTTTAGGACTGGAGTACATGGAGTGTCGTTTATTTAGATATAGTATTTTACATAAGCGGGGGTAGCTGACTACAGTTGCTTTGCCTATATGTATTTTGAAACATAGGAGGGATTTTTTGATGATGGTTTTCTGGATATACTGAGCAGTGGCTATCGAGTGGATGTTCTTGGTATTAATTCTGCGCGATAAGAAGTCGCCATACGTGGAAGTATTTTTAACATTCCACGAGACAAAAATTTATTGGTGGGTGAGGAAACACCAAGTTTTTCTTGAGTATATGTGGCTGTCATCACATGCTTTAGTCACTTTCGTGCTATTGATATTTATTTTTAAATCGACAAGGAAGTTTTCATCGCTTTAATTATCTATAAGTTACTTATTAAACGTAATTTCATATCATATTCTACTGTACATTAGTGTAAATTGGCAAGCTAATTTTTATCTTAGCTAGAAACTAGTAAATGACTGACGCATTTTCTCATCCTTTGTTGCTTGCTAAAGAAGTTTATGTGCTGCTGCTAATTTTCGCTATAAGAAGAAGTAGACTAGGTAGTCATGTTTTTTACCAAGAATTTTTTAAATTTCAGGGTAGCTTGGAGGGGAATCCGGTTGTCCAAGTAGCCCTCATTGCCGAATCAAGTCGCTTACAAATGATGTTGTCCACGTATGGGATCAGCACTCAGACTCCACTAGAACTTGAACCGATTCAAATATGGCCTAGTTGGAAATTAGTTAAGGTTAGTTTTTGATTGCAAATTTTAGAATTCTTTGCTCTCAGCGAGCTTATTTTCTTTTAAGCTTGGTTTATTAAGCTGGAATAGCTGTTCAGGAAAATTAGTTGCTTGAAGAAAACTGTTTTATCACTTTACCAAAACATACCTTTTTTAATGCTTTGCGAATGCTCTGTTTTTATTACTTAGCTCTTTTGATGCACGTTATTTTAGATCTTTGAATCTCTTGGTAAGAATGAAAAGCTGGGGTTACGAGGAAGACCTCCCCGTCCATTTGGTTCATTAAACACCAGCAAAGTTTTTAAGCTATTTGGTGATACAATACTTTGCTATCCATTATTATTTGAAGTGAAAGATTTCTATTTAAATTCGGATCCCGCGGTTTTGATCGATGATATTAAGGTTTTTGGTTATGGCCACTTGATTGAAAAAATTGAAGCTTGGTAAAAATAAGTTATTATTACCTTACCATTAAAAGGTGTGAAAATTACCTTTCTTGCAGTTGGAAATAGAGTTTGTTTCAAAGAGATGGAAGCTGGCTGGCCGACCGACCTTCTGTATGGTATTACGCGAAGAAAATGTGGCAGGAGAGTATTTCGGTCACTTACTTGATCTCTTGGTGGCTATGAAGAACGGTTATGTCAATGGGGTCCGAGTTAGAATGGGTCGTGTGCATGTAAGAGTTTACTCAACATTAATCATACTTTGTTTCCAAGAGTTGGCAGCTCATAAATCTTAAATTTTAAGTTCGCAAGCTACTTTCAGCAGCATTTCTCGCATTCAGCGTCTGTTTTTTACAAATTCTTATAACTGCTAATTGGACTTTGCCTTTTGCAGCAGCTACTGAACAGAGGTTGCATGGAACATATTGATTTTGCTCCTTTTGAGCAAATAGCTGTCACAGATGAGATATACGAGAATTTTGGTACGAAAAGGGCGGAAATGCTCTCAGAACTATCACTTAATGACGTCCCCGACGAAAGGACCGATTTAAGAGAGGTCAGTAGTTAGTGTTGGTTTGATAACTACAAAAACCGTGATTTTTTGTGCTGCCTTTTTTCGAGCCAGCTTCGAGATTGCAAAAACATTCAATGTTTTGAATTTATCTGCTAAAATTTTTCTATGGAGTGAAAGTTCCCATTACATATTTTTTATGGTGTTAAAAAATTAGAAAGAAGTTTATTTTTCGAGAAGCTTTTTCAGCGCGATTTTTATGCGAAGTCTGACAGCGAATTGTATGAAATTGTGAAAAAGCAGGACGTCACTAGTCTTCGCTCTTTGGCTTTCGCTACAGCTGTGCTGTCTTGGCGTCATGGAAAAAATTTTGATGTGGATGGAGGTTGAATTTCACTAAGATTCTGAGTTTTCGTTTTCAAGAGTGATTTGAGTTGTTTGGTACGGAAAGGCGTAGTGGTTATAGGTTTTATGCGTTGCATAACGCGATGTTAATGAAATACAATTTGATTCGCAAGGCGTTTAGAGACATTGGAAGCTCGGCTGGAAAAAGTTTACCGTCAATCTTGTGCATGGAGGAGGTGGTGGCTTGTTAGGTACTGTGCAGCTAGGCTGCAAAAAACAACCAATTCTCTTGCTCCTGGGATCACAAACTTACTTGTTCGAGGAAAGCAGGTAAATCAAAGGAAACCTATTACTTTTTTGTTTAAAAGTTGAAATATTGTGGAAGGTATTTCAGGTAACTTTAGGTATGCGAGGGTTCAAGGAAGTAACAATATCTGTTCCTACAACTCCAAATGAAATAACCGAGATTTTATTTGCATGCTGTCCGGAAGAGGAACCGCAGTCTGCTGTATTGCAACAGGAATTGATTATTGCTTGTTCAGATTTAGTTAGTAATTTACTAGCTCTCTCCCATTTAAGAATAATACAAATGACGTTAAAATGACAAGTTTCTAGATTTGCAAAAAACCGGAAGCTTTTGATGGCGTTTTAACAATCAGGCTGTCTTGGCTTGCTGACGCTATTGGGTTAATGCTAGATTACGTCCAGAGTGCTAAAGTTCAAGAGAGTATCCTAACTACACCAACAACTGGAATACCAACAAGTAATCGTCAACATTCTATTGTCATCGTTCTGAAGCCTCCTTTTGATTTCCTTAACATCTCATTTGTAGTTGCCATTGAAATTTTGTTTTAGTTCCTGCAAAGCTTTTAGTCATAATTTTGTTTTACTCGAGTTGAAATAGTTTGCACAAAACTACCAAGTGACATGATTTCAAGCAGTGGAAAGTCAATTATTGTCATGCTGAGTGTTCTTATTTCCTGCATGTTTTCAGCTTACAGTGGTGGGAATTTTAGCGTCTATGATCTTGCTCCGACTGTGGTTAAAGATGTTGTTGCTGCACTTTTAACTCGGAAAAATTGGCATTTACTGTTAGTTTTTGCATGTTATTTTTAGATCAAAATTAGCTTACGAAATTTGCTTCGGCTGTTGTATTTGAGTTTAAGGCTTACCTGATTTCATATATGACCAGTTTGTTTTTCGTTGTTAACAAGTCAAAGCTTTCCATATATTAGTGTAGGCTCTACGTATCAAGTGAAAGTTACGTATTTTGGTTTTAACCGATGAGGCGATATTTTCGTTGATTCTCATTTTATTTGTAGCACACCACTACAGTCTCGTCGTCTCAATGGTTCGCTAAACCGTGTTCCAAACAACTTTTATAACAGAGTTTGGAAGATCCTAGAACGAACTCCTGGCGGTATAGTTATTGCGGGGAAACATTTGCCACAGGTGACCTTACAAATTGAATTTTAATGGTCATTTTTGTTGTATGTCTCTCAAGGACTGTTGATGACTGACGTAATGCGGAGCGATAGCTGCAGTCATCGGCTGTAATCGCTCTTACTTGTACATCTTTTAGCAACCAACGTTAAACGACATGACGCAGTATGAGTCGACATTTGCATATGAAATTGAGGGGATGATGAGTGTTATTGCTCATCCGGAATACAGACAAGTTGTTGAAGAGGTATTCAATTTCATTTCAATGATTAACACTTTTTCGCATTATTTAACTTCGACGAAGTGTAGTGGTTCGTTTACGGAAAAGCTCATCTGTGGTAACAATTGTTACTGGTTGGTACTCGTGAAAATTTTATTGGTACTTCTGATTATCAATTTCTGGCTTTCAGCTTTTGTGTATTATTGCACTGGTGTTGGAGCGCAATCCTGAACTACTCTTTAGTGGAAAACTCGACTTAGACCAGGTATGTTGGTCTTTCTGTCGCCTAAATTGTGAAAAAACTTTCTGCAAAAGTGACTTAGAAGAAACAATGTGAGTTAGATTTTGCGTTCAGGCTAGAGGTATTATTTTAGCTTGTGAAAACTGCATTTAATCGATTTTGCGATGATATGGGTATTGCTGACAGGAAGGATATGACTCCATTCTACCAGCTTGAAGATACAGACCTCACTACTAATTCAACTGCTTACTATTTGGCAAAGGTAGCTTATGCGCTTTAATTAACGATCGAAAAAGTTATTTCTGAACATTTTACACTTTTGCTGAGCAGTCATGCTTTGTTTGGTTTCTTCCTTTAGTTTTTTTCTTGTCTTTTTTACTTATGGGAACACCCAGGTTTTTTCATATATTCAGCTTTTTTTCTACCTCTTGCGTAGAAATTCTGTAAGGAAATAGCTTCATGAATTTTTAGAAGTGTAACCGTTTATTTCTAGATGCATTTCTAATCCTGCTTTCCTATAACAGACATTAGTGGGTTTAAAGAAGATTTAAGAAAGTTTCATAAGTAGTGAGTACCATTTTTTGAAACATTCAACAGTTTTCTACGCTGAAAAAAACTGCCACTGATGGGCAAAAGATACAGGAAATGGTTTCAAACACAACTTGGGGCGGTAAATGCAGATTCTTTCAAAGAGAATGTTACAGAGATGCAGCTTTCGTTTCATTCGAGCTCCTTAGGGCATTTATTTTAGTAAACACGCATCTTCAAGCACAGCCAATTTTTTTATACTTACAGAAAACTTGTTTAGTCTAATGTTTTTTTTACAGGTCTTCTTTTGGGCTTACTAGTGACTTTTTCAGGCCGTCATAGATGTACTTCTCAGTGCTTGCAGTCTGAACCGACGCAAGCATAGCTTATTCATGCCATGCGATCTGCTTCTAACTCCCTATTCTGAAAAGCACAATGAAGAAAGCGCGTGTGCTATTAACTGAAGGCCTTGGCCACGCAGTCAACGTTTTATGTACCTTGTAGAAGTTTCTGGAAATTTGCCGTGACCTAATGTAGTTTTCTTAGTTTTTCTCACTTTTTTAGTCAAAGAGGTCTTGAAAGCTTTTTAGTTACTGTGCTCGCTAGTTCTTAAAAATTCCTCTGAGTCTTATATTTTAATAAATCTCAAGCAGCAGCTATTGGAACTGCTATCTTTGTCGAGTAACTTGACGTTATTGTGAATATTTTTGTTATTTTTTTATTTTAGAAGTTACTGAGTCTTACTGTTCTTCGACTAATTACTTATTATTAAGTATTCTGCTGTAAGAAAACTAGATATTTTTGATATGTTTATAATAGTGCCAACTTACGAGTGTATTTGTTTCTAGTTATTCCTTGCTGTTTATTTCCGCAACTTTAATACTGTAATATGCCTAGTTCTTTTTCATATTTTCTGGATGTCCGGTAATTCTTGCTGCCGGTAATAACTATTTCTTTATTTTGATAGTGATTAAGCTCAATTCGTACGAGATTGTTGCGTATTATTGGAAAATTTTTGCATTTTGATATTTTATCAATAATTATTGACAATGTTTTATGTGACTAAACTATTATTTGAACTGACATTAAAGGTATCAGAAAAACAATAAGTTTTTAGACCGGAAAGTCGGGAATTTGCGATAATAGTAGGTGCCTGTTCAAAAGCAAGGCTTGTAGCATTCATTGGTATCGTTGTGGCAGTTATACGCTTTGGTGTTTGTCGGTGCGACTTTGGAAACAAAGAGTTTTCAATTTTTTTCTGTCTAAAAACAACAAAAAATGAGATTGAAGCAGCCAGATTGTTTTTCGCTACAGATAAATTTCCATGAACGATAAAAGAAAAGTGCTACAAGAACCTACAGAAGGTTTTGGAGCAAGGAGGCGCTTTACAAAAACGTCTTGGTCTAGGTCATTAACCACGACTCCGTGAAATATCCACGGATTAGAGTGCCTGTGAAGCAGCATCAATCCATAAAAAGAATGACAAGTCTTCTTGAGTGGAAAGTTTATGAAGGTCATTTTGCATCTTAAGGTTTTTATGCGTGTTTTACAAGGATCTGGTACTAGTAAGCGAAACGGCTGGTCTTGCGGAGTTATAGACCTTTCGAGAACTTAGATATATGTTTTCCAGTTGTAGCTTCTATCAGCTTTGCCTATAAATTTAACAGTTCTGCATCACATCGCAACGTCACTTTGAAAAACGTAAATGGACAAACTTTTTTGCTCCGTGTTGTTGGGGTTTCTCGTAGATCCAAGCCTATTTAAACACACGAAGCTGGGTTATGCAGGACAACCACAGTGTTGACAGTGAGTTGCAAGTTGCAGCAGCGCATTCACACCAACTTAAAAATTTTTTGCTTAGTTCACCGGCTTAATTTCTTCCATTTAGCTTGACTGTTGCCACTATACGCGAATCACACAGCAATTGAGGGCTAGAGCTTGGTATAAAAGGACGTAGAGATTAAAAGTAGGATCCTCTCCTGGGAAATAAAAAACGTTCCTTGCTTTGATTCTTGATCTTGGTGATATAGCCTACGATTTGATTCTATCAGGTAATATTTCCATTATCTTAAATTTTTTCCTAGTAACTGTCTTTGATTTTTCGTGACCGCTCGGCAGTTTGTGGGTTTGGAACTTTTTGTTTTACTTCTTGTCGTAGTTGTAACTCTTTGGCAACTTAAAGTCCATACTTATAACAATAAGGATTACAAACAAATTTTTAGAAACCTAGTTATAACTGTGATATCATATACAACTCAAAATTTTTATTCGATTTATGAGATTGGAGGAGTGTTTGAGTAGTAAAGAGTTGTTAAGTACAGGCAGAAGTACAACATCCCAAAAAACTATACATTCAAGCGTTATTAGAACAAACGAGAGTTACTGAATTTCTGTCGGCCAGTCTCGTTTACCAGTAAGCTAATGCTAGCAGCATTAGAAAACCCGTAATAAGTTTAAGTTTATCATTGGTAAATTACAGTCTAACTCTAGCGTGGTTGGTACTGCAAGTTTTAGCTGCTACCTTAGAAAGTGGCATCTCAAAGACCTTAGAGACGTGTAGTAAGGTTGTCGTGTATTAGTTTAAAGAATTGTCGGATAATTGCAACACTAATGGTCCTGTAGTTTTTGGAATACAGTTTTTAGCAATCAGCCATTGGTTGGTTTACGATAACTTCGTCTGCCACTTACCTTCGTCCCAGAGAAGCCAAAATGAAGAATGCTCATTAGATTGGTCGTTGAAATTCTTTGGTATCTCACGTTGTTGTGGTGTTAGGTTGAAGTTTTATCCTATCTGAAGAAGAAAATAATACACATTAGATGGCAAGAATATCAGTTCGATTTGAAAAAAGAAAGACTACTTGAATGCAACAGTATCACTTCAGTCAAAAAACACTATCAGCATTTTGAAAATATGAGTCTGTGAGAAAATTAATGATGCAAAGAGTTGTGGAGAGAGACTAAGGAAAGAAGAATTTCTGTGATATCCTAACAACAACAAAAAACACAACAACAAAGTTATATATTGAAATTGAATTTGCTAGCCTTTGAAGCCAATCCAAGTTTGATAAAATACAGAAATTTTGAAAGCTTCAATATATGACAGAGAATAAGACTTCAAACCGATTCACTCATATTTATCAAGATACATATCTTCCACAAAAGTATTAAGTATTTAGTTTAATAAAGCATGTTGTTAGTAAAATCCTGTTATTTTGTAATAAAGTTCAGGTATTGCAAAATGCCACGTAGTAACTCATGACTAATAGAGGGAGAAAATAACTTGTTACCTAAACATTACTACGAAGTAACAGTGTTTCAATGATAATGACTTATTTAACTATACTGGTGAGTAATGTGGTTATGGAGATGTGTAAGGTGTTAGGTAATCGACTTATCAAGCAGTATGCAAAGAAGTTAAATCACTACCTAAACTTTACTAAAAAGTAACGGCATGTTACTGGTAATATGGTTTATTAAGCTATATAGGAAAATATATGAAGCACTGCGTAATAACTTATAACTAGTATATTGAGAGGATAAATTGGGTTTAAGTAGACCTGGTAATATAAGAGAAACATGCAAAAATGATAACAAATTAGTTATTAAAATAATTAAAGTAATTTAGTGAGATGTGCTTGATTAAGAGGTTACAGTCAAGAACTCAAACTAAGGTAAAGAGATTCAATTAGTAGTTTAAAAAAAGAGGATAAAAACAGTTAAATGCTACCTATACATGTTGCGGAACTATATAAATCCCAATGAGCTATGGATTATCCTTTCCAGACTACTCAATATATGTTACTACTGTTATAGCAGCCATTCCGTCATCATATAAAGTAACAAATTTATGGTAGATCCCTCCACCGTGTTCTATGTATGTTATAACTACATTTACAAAAAAACTAATTTTTCAATACAATTAGATTGCTTTTTTACTGCATTGGAGGTAGCGAGCGGGATGACCAAATGGATGAGATAGTATATTAAAGAAACTTTTAACCCTGATTCTTAGCGGACGTTTCAGCCCTAATCGGACATTCGCTATACTAAGATTAATTTAACACTGCCATTGGCGGGCCTCGTCAGCGGATGACCGATGGGTTTTACAGGACCAGAGACAGCACTTAGAATAACCTTATATGGAAACAATTTATAAAGCCTACTGGTTAGTATACAGTAATAAAAAATACATAAAAAGAAAAAAATATGAGATAAAGCGACTTTTGTTACCGCCTAGTAACAGAAAGTACATGAGGTTGGAAGGAGGCAGTGTAAACTGGTCTATATTATTACCTTAGTAATAAAAATTACAGAGACTGGGTAGAAAAGCCTGCATCACTACTTAGTATTAAAAATTTATAATATACGAAGACAGAAGAATACAAGGTAAGAAACAGTTTACTTATGTTAAAAACACACTCCATGGAATCTATATGTAAAAAGTAAAAAAAACTCTTGTCTTTAACAAACTCAATTAAGAAACAAGTAAGTAATACAATGAGTGAAGAAGTTATATTATTTGTAGTTTTATTTTCCTTTTCTCAGCGAGCGTTTTGGCCCTAACTGGACATTAGCTTTTTTAAAGCTGCTGTAACATGACCACTGGTGGGCCTCATCAGCGAATGACAAATGGTCGCTGTAGAACCGGAGACGGTCTTAACCTATTTTAGCCATAGAATTGTGTATTAATCTTACCATGTGGTATTGTTATACAGGAACGTAGGCGATAGATGAGTGGAGAAAAGGATTAAGAAGAATTGTAACTTAGTTTGCATACACAGATCAAAAAAAGAGGCTATTCGATTCAAGTTGAGCGAGTGGATAAGGTTAGTCTTCACATGATTTCCAGGTAATATTCATGTGAGTGTTTCAAAAAAGAAGGGGAAATTAAAGCCAGTAAAGAGCTAAGTAATATTAGAGTACAATTAGCATGGATAACCAAGTAGTAAGTGTACTCTGAACGTAGCCTAGTTATTATTAGATAATATTAGTATGTGGTTTGGTTAAGGTTTGAGACACTAAAAGTTGAAAATAAGTGATTTTGTGATGTAATGAGATATATTTAGTAGTAATAGATAAGTGACAGTACTGAAAAATAGTAGCACTACTATCTTTTGTATACCACAAAGATAAGGTTAGGCCTATTCATATATTGCTACTTATTACTAGTAATTGCGGTTCTATCATAAGAAAAGAGTAACTGTGTTTTAAATAGAATAACTAATTTAATTAAGAAATTATGTATTACTGGCATTACGGGGTGCAACTTTAAACACACTACCACACTTCAAAAAAAATATTCGCATTTCAATAGACATTGTTTAATTTGTATTACTATAAGGTTACTGTGGGTTATTAATACGTTAATAGGTTAAAGAATACCTAAGCTATTATTGCTTATTACTTAAATATAGAGGTATAAAGGTGTTACCAGTTAGGCATTAGGTAAATGTGCTTTCGCTATAGGCAATAAAATACTGAAACGATGGATTTGATAGACCTAGGTTACTTTTTTGGCTAGTCGTAAGCAAGAATTACACTAGCTCTAGGTAAAAGTGTAGCTTGAGTGAACGCAATGGACATCGTACTTCCAAGAGCTGGAATCCATCCAGTGCCACAGGTATTGCAGGAGCTAATTGAAGAGTTCCTGATTGTTGTTAATGGCTGAAAAGCGGACAGCTGAATTGAGACGACCGAGCAGAAACGAAGACAACGTTTGAAACAGCAGGGATTGGATTTCTACGTACATATTTAAAAGACCAATCTCCTTGAAAGACACTTTCTCTGGCAAAGACCACTTTTCTCGCACTCAGGCAAATTTGAGAATGGCTGTAGGAGGCAGGCAGATTAGGAAAGTTCTCAAGAATCAGTTTCAATGGTAGGCTTACACTTAAGGTTAAGTTTAGGCTTATTTTCAAAGATAGGCGTAGGCTTATATTTACTTTTGCTCTTAGGCTTAGATTTTGGGTTACTGAGAACAAATTTTGTGGAGTAGGAAACAGTGACGTACTGCGGAAGTTTAATGTGATGGAGTAGTGTATCACTGACGTTATATTGACGTATTTTAAAACCAAGGGATGTTCATACTTAAATAACTTTCTGATTTGAAAATGAAGTCTGTATTAAAAAAATAAGTCTTTTTTCGCTTAAATAATTTTTTAAGGCATGTATACTGAAGTAAATCTAAAGCAGTTGTGCAGTACTGTGTTTTGGAAACGTGTCGCAGCATGTAAGTTAATGCGATCCAAACCCTTTAAAGTGTTTGAAGTGACTAACGAAGGAATGTTTATTCTTCACTGGACATGGACTAATTAAAGCTAGTTTTTTGATGATTACTTATATAATATACAGATTGACACGGTGAACGGCAAAGAAAATTTAAGTGAACAACAGCAAAAATTACAGCTGAGATTACGGATGATATTTTACGCCAAACGGCACTTCTCTCAGTTGACATCTCAGAGTTTTTTGAAGTTTTCCTGGTTGGTAAAGAGTTATAGTTCTTAAGACCTACTAAGCACAAATATTTCAGAAGAAAGTCAATACAGCAGCTAGCTTTCTAAAGCAGTAGGTTCTTGCGGAATTATAATTTTGAAAAGGCAGAGATGTTAAGCAGCAATCTGGGGAGTTTTGCAAGTCTGAGTAAGTG